CTGCCAGCTACAAATTCTTCAAGATCACACATATTGTAGATAGGTTTGTCTTTGTTACTATCACTATTATCTTCATTGATTGGTGTCTTTTTACTTAAAGAAAGAGGTGAAATGGTTTCATCAAGTAATTTTTCTTTAAGTCTTTTTTCTTTTTTTTTAATTCTGTCTTGTTCAGCACAGGGATTACATTGGGCAAATAATTTAATTTTATCTCCTCTTTATCTTGTAAACTCAGAAATAGATTTGGTCTTTTTACAGTAAGAATACTATTTATTTTCTTTAACAGTATCAACAGTATCATAGGTTTCAATGTTTAGAGTAAATATATTTTATATTTGATATTGTTAGATATTAAAATCAATTTTTAAATTTGAATGTGTTGCAACTTGGGTTTGAATCTTTTATATTTATAGGTTTTGTATTATATATTTGATATAATTAATTAAATTATCAAGAAGTGCTACTACAGTCTTCAATTTATTATTATATGATTATTAATAAAATGCACATTGATTTTAATTTTACTATTTAGTAGTTATTCTTGAATTTATAGTATGTACTACTATGATGGCTGAGATATAGTGCATTTTGATATATGACATTATAGTGGCCAAGAGATAATACATTGCGATGCATAATATCTTGGCTGATCGGTTATATATATTATGATTGTGATGATATATAACCTTTAGGATATTAATTTATACTTGCTATAAGTGTTCAATAAAAAATAATTTAAAAAAATTTTTTTACTATATAATTTGATATGGATATAAAAATACGGTATCAGTTTACTAATTCAACATGGATATCAATCAATTCATTAAAAAAAAGTTCTTAAAAAAATAAATAAAAAATTAAAAATAAAAAAATTTAAAGTTATGCGAAGTGAAGTAGTTAGGTTTTTGTTACATGAAGCATGCATATAGGATTAGCCAACAAGTAAAACATTTTATATTTGAAAATTTTTTAATACATATTGATAGTTTTCTGAACAATACTACAATGTTAACATATTCAATATTAAGTTTTTGCTTGAATGCATGTTCAGTAGGTTTGATGTGTTAGTCTATATGAAAATTTATAGCAAATATTATTTTTACCCAACAGATTTTAAGGATTTTAACTATAGTAAAACCTCTATAAGTACATGCTTTTGGGACCAAACTTTAACGATGTGCACTCAAAGCACAATAAGAAAAAGTGCATTTATGAAGGTCATATATATATATTTGGGCAGCCTGAAATTAAGCATGTATT